TTTCTTTACTACGATGTTAGTTCGTAATAAACAAACGTCTGTTTTGTACATGTGTTTATTCAGTAACTGTTAATTCAACGCTTTGCGTTGAATTCAGAATAAACTATTTCTGAGCTCTCAACGATGTCAACAGTTTCAACGACAACGCCAACGAAAACGCCAACACGTTGTCAACGAAAACGCAACGGGTTGAATGCGTTGAATTTTTGCAATAAAACTGGCCGGTACTGTAAGGACTATGAAACCGCATGCCAAGTATACACAAATTGGCTCGTGTGAACTTTAAAGAACCCAACTTTTCAGACAAATAAGAGGTTACTCCGGTGTACTGGTCCAGCCAGGCCCTGTCGCTGACAGACCAGAGTACCCGGTACCGATTTACCGGGTAGCCCTAAAAGCGCTTTAAGAAAATGTATAGAAGAAAGTTGAATTTAAAGAAAGTATAATACATACTCCAAGTATTGAAATGTATGCCATCGTGTTGGGATTCAATATTTCAACATTAGTTTAATATGTCATTTGCCAATCAAACTAAAGTTATTGCGAGTTTGGTACCCTCCTGTCAGATTTGTTTTTTAGTATGATCAAACATCGTTTTCATCATTATTAGCATCTTTTGTATCTTTGTCATTATTATCATCAACCTCTTCGTCAGCATCAACAAAATGCTTCCTTAAAGATTAGAATGTGCAATCTCATACAAAAATATAGGTCTGTGTTAATTTAATTAAATAATTAATTTAATTCTAATGAATTAAAATAATAAATCCGCTTAGTTTATTGACCCAAATAATAATAAATATGTGCTGTATATTAAATTTACAATAAAATAAAATAATTTATTACCACCTTTAATTTTAAGGATTTTAATTTAAGAACAATCTAGGAAGTCCGTCCCCAATCAGTGCACATGAATAATGTATATGTGAATCAGTGATTAGTATCAGAACTGCGTTGTTATTGGGCTTCAACGACGTCATCACGCAACACTCACTTGGTCTGGTAGGATTGTCCACCCACCTAGCAGCTAGAGGCACTAGAATCTTTGGAAACATGCCCAAGGCTGTTGTGTGCTTTGAGCATGAATGTGCGAGTGAGTTCTTGGCTACTACTGCAAGGAAACGGTTTGGTTTTCCCCCGTTTCCTGTGCTTACTAATTGCACCAGACATGCGCGCTTGTTCAACCAGTACTTGCTAAAACATTACTGTCTGTTAAGCTTATATAAACTCAAAAAATTAAATTTTTTTAAATTATTATATATTTTTAAGATAATTATTTAAATTGAACATTTAGAATAAGGAAATATTTTGTGCTAATATACTTGGAGAACAAAATTAGTTAATTTATTTCTTGTATTTTTTTTTTTTTTAAATTTAACTAGATATTTAAAATAAGGAAATATTATATATAGATAATTCTTTTTTTTATATACACTTAATTATATTGGCGGGCAATCAATTTCAGGATTTCCATATTAGAAGTTTGTGAATCACTAAAAGCTGAATTGTTTCGATCTGTATTTTAATCGAATAAATTTATAAGCAATTCACTATTTTAATTGAATTTTGTAGGGTTTTTTTTAGACAAAATTTTTACCAATTGGCAATTGCAGTATACAAGGTAGATTAAAATTGTGGATCAGTTACAGTTAAAGTACAATTATAATACTATTCACTGGGAAAAAGTTTTATATAATCAGTAAATATAATAATTTCTGTGACATTTTCATGCTTTTACAGGATGTATAATGAATTTTTTATTATTATTTTAAAACTATATTTAAGGCGGGTAGCCCATTCAGCAAAGATGATATTTCACATGCATCAAAAATACAACTATTACAATAAAATTTGATAAAAAATATGGAAGAAAACATGTAAATCGCATAAAAATAGATTTGTAATATATGAATGTACGTATGTAATTGTAAGATTAATCTATCTTTAACAATAAAATTTGATAAAATTGTGGATAAACCATGTAAATCGCATAAAAATGGATTTGTAATATGATATGAATTTATGTATGTAATTGTAAAATTAATATATAATTATTATTAATTACAATATTTATGATATAAAATCCATGTGAATTCGTGAGATCGGACGCTAGTTTGTTGCTTTTTCTTTTCTTTTTGATGTGATTTCGATTTTCTTTTTTATAATGTTATATATATATATATATATGTATATGTATACATATATTTATTATACCTTGTATTCAATGTTTTTAATGTTACTGCCCTTGTTGGAAGAAAAAACTATTTACAGCAATTAAGTTTGCTTTTTGTTTATCCTGTCGCTGACAAGGGTGTTGTCCTGACTTTCTTTGTCCTTGTATTGTTGTTTTAACTGGCGAAATATATGAAATGAAATGAAATTGTTCTTTCATATTTTTTTATTAATATGTTGTATTTTATTTGATATGGGTAAGATCTTGGTAAGTTATTTTTTTAATATTACTTTTACCATATAATAATAATATTAATAAATTAGTTTTTAAAAATGTATCATGTGAAATTTGTATGCATTTATATGATTTCATTTTTTCTATTAAGAGAAAAAAATACAAGTTTCTATTAATAATTTAATTAAACATTGTTTCATTAATTGCATTTTACATTACCTTTCATTAATAATAACAAGTGCCACTGTTAATTCATCGCACCAAGGCAGCTTTTTGATTGGTCTACGTTAGACATTGTCATAACAACTTCAGAATTTCTCATTGGTTGTATTTTTTAAGCTCAGTGACGCAATTAGCATAATTGGAAGAGAAGATTTTCCAGATAAATGGCCGCATTTACTCCCGCAAATGGTCTCAAAGTTCAGCAGCGGCGATTTCCATGTGATTAATGGCGTTCTTCGAACAGCACACTCGCTTTTCAAAAGGTATCAGGAGATAAAGAAAATTATAATACTAATAAAAATTGAAATACAAGAATTGTCATCATTATTGTTATTATTAATATTATCGTTGATTTGTCTTTTGTTTTACAATTTTCTCTTTGGTAATTAAAGGTACCGACATGAATTCAAGTCACAGCCGTTGTGGATAGAAATCAAATTAGTATTGGACACTTTTGCAGCACCAATTACTGAACTAATGAAGGTAAGTTGTGACTTGGTAGGTGACGTACCTGCACCTTCTTTATGTTTCTAGATTCCTGGGTTCAAGTCTAGCAACGTTTGTTGTTGATCATTTAAGCAAGACATTTTTTATACCTTGTTTAGAAAACTTACTTTTTTAAAGATTTTCAGAGGATAGTGGAAAAAAATAATAAAAATTTTGTTTTATTAGCAAAATGATTTTGCCAAAAGCATCTAAGCATATTTGAAAAGAAAAATCTAATTTTATTGATGAATATAAACAGTTTAGTTAATGAGATTAATAATGCTTTAAATTTACCTTTATTTTTTTTCAGGGAGCAGATGGCATAATAAAATTAAATAATTTTTTTTTCTTCTGAAATTTACATTTTTAACTAGCAAAAATAACAATTTTTTCAAAATAACTATCATTGGAGGCGTTGGGTTTGTTAAACAAGGTATAAAATGTCTTGCCTTAAAGGAGGGCACACTAATGTTAAAATAGGTAATATCAGGAACTATATATAACATACAAACAATAGTTACGTAAATAATAATGAGACGATCATGTTATTTGGAAATTACGAACTCGATGAGTTTAGACAATTTTAATTTTCTAAAGTTAACTGTGTATTCAGATTCTGTACTTATATCCAAAACTCAACTAGTCAACCACGCCTGAAACACCCTTCCTACTAATAACAATAGAGGCAAAAGAGTGAATTCAGATTACATAACAGGGCTCTATGTCTAAGTCTTAACAGAACTCTAGTAAAAGATAGTGAATAAACCACTTTACCAGCCCATGTGACCGTTCTTAAACATCAAGTTCTGATTTTTACCATGAAGTGTATGCTGGGTAAATCATTCATGTGTTAATTGGAGCACTTGCGGAATAATGACACTCGCTTTTTACTCGTAAAACACATGTTGAATACACACAAGTAATGTCAAAAGTTCTATGATCAGTACTGTAAGTAGTCATTAATTGCAAGATGGAATGCATTATAATTTCTCGTTTCTGACAGGCAATGATGGACTTTGCCGATCAACACGAAAACAACGCAGACGGAATAAAGGTAATCTACAGCTCAATTACGCTGATTGCCAAATTGTTTTACAGTCTAAACTTTCAGGTAAGATATTTATATTGTTATTTATTTATGTTATTTAATTATTTTATGCAACTTCCTTTACATATAATGTTTAATAGAGGGAGAGCGTTAAGGGTCCACCTTAGGTGACAAGTAATCACTCATTTATTAAAATAAAATTTAAAAAAAAGATCTCTCAATGGCTGTGTTTATGTCAACCATTCTTAATGTGAATGACAGCCAGGTGTCTTCAACATGACAAATAACAAGCAATATTATCTTACAACATTTAAAATGAATTTATTTGAAGAACAATTACAACTTTTACTAATTAAAGATGATAATAAATATTTTAGAAAAAAGTATGTCCCATCAGGGATTTAAACCTAAGACCACCTGATTACCGTTCAGTAAAATATGAAATAAAATATTTATAAATTTAAATATTTAAATATTTTATTGTTTTAGTAACATCTTAATATTGCAGTTCCAGATTTATTTCAAAGTAATTGTGATTATTTTTTTTTTTCATTTGTAGGATTTACCAGAATTTTTTGAAGATAATATTAAGCAATGGATGGACCACTTTCTCAAGCTCCTTACCAAGGACATTCCCATTCTACACACCACGGTATGTTTGATGTAACAAAGCTAAGGTATCCGTAGGGTACCGCAGTCGTGCCGTCACGACACCAGAGGTCTCTCTGTTGTCAACAGACGCTGGTTACCGTTCATTACACCTGAAAGACTTCGTAGGCTTTCTGGAATAGGCATTTTGAAATCTAATATAAATTTGCCATCAAAATGTACTAAAAACACAAAAAGCTCGCATTATATTAGTTATCGAACACGCATTTAAAATTTACAAAGAAAAAGTAAGATACAATATCTTAATAATGACGTTAGAAATTGGGATCAATGGTTTGTCAGTGGAGAAAACGGCACCGGTTGAACGCTTTTTGCAACGAGAGCAACGGAGTAGTATCACACGGTATCGTGACGTAACACAGTAATACTTTATTGATATAATAATAATAATAATAATCTGGTTTCAGCCCATTGCTGTACATTTTACTCGTGTTCTTGAGCAAGGCACTTTTTGTGGATGCTGGCTCCTGCGCTGATTACAGCAGTAAAACTTGTGAATCCAGTGACAAAGAAAGCACTTTGATTCTAAAAAGAAAGGTGCTTAATAAATTATAATATAATGTTTATTACAAATGTAATTTGCGCATTTCTGTGACTATTGTTTTAATATTTTCATGTTTTCATGCTTGTTATTATGTAAACTCACACGTTTGCCTTTTTTGTGGTGATGTTTTTATACCAATTCATTAATAATAAATCAACTGTCTATTAATGCAGAATGGCAAGTCCTTAATTTGCTTCCCATCATTTCTGCAATCATTTGATTATGAAGAACAGTGGGATAGAGATTATGATGGTGAAGAATGACTATAAAGATGAGGACAATAATAATTATGAATAAAAATGACTAATAATGATAAAGAATAATGATAATAATCACTGGAACAATAACAGTACTAATAAGCAATTAGAATAGTTGTGTATCGTACACTACTGAAATTATTATTACGTTAGATTAATGCAAGAAAAAATACTAACCTACGATTCATCACGGTGCGCGATATGGGCAGTGCTAGAAAAATATGGTTGCCATTGGTGACAAAAAAAATGAATCATGGCAAATAGTTTTGTTATTCCCATTGCCATCATGACTACCAGAGTAGAAGCAGTGATAGCCAAACTGACAATAAAATCCACAGAAAAATAAGCATCTTGTCGCCGTGTAGTTCATTTGGCAGATGCACTTTCCCAGAATTCCCAGAAATTCCAGATCACGAACCACCTCAAAAATCAGGCGCCGCATGTCTAGTATGCCCAATTACTTAGCCTAGGGTAGGACCCGTTTTGTAGGCCTAGTATTTTTAATTATACTCACTACAGTGCTGTTCTAGGATTCCTACTACATTTTCTACAAAATTCATGCAATGGTTTGGGTTGTCTATATAATTGTTTTCATATTAACGTTCATTCATAAAACATTTTGGAACAGGTTTCTGTTTGCAAAACAATAACAAATTATTTTTCGGCAGTTCGGTGCTCGAATCGAAGTCACATGAGCAGCTTCATTTTCGACGTTGCAACAAAACACATCTGGTTGCTGGTTGACACTTGCTGTTCGACGTCTGGTTCCCGGCGGCTAGTACCGTTATATAGAAGGAATGATTCCGCTGTTAATTTAAATGCATTATTATGATTTTAGAATAAAAACTTGTGAAATTAATGTATGCTTTTTTTGTAATAATTTTTTACTGGATTTTAACTGTAGGACGGCATACGTCATCTGCTCATGGAAAGTAGCATTCAGAGTTACAGTCACGATTAACTTATAATGATTATTATTATGTTAATGGAACTAATAACTTACAAAGTTTTCTCAATTCAGGATGAAGATGAAGTTGGGGCTTTGGAATTGCTCCGTTCACAGATCTGCGATAACATCTCGCTGTATGCCCAAAAGTATGGTGAAGAGTTTCAACCCTTCCTACCAGGTTTTGTCACAGCAATTTGGAATTTGTTGGTGACAACTAAAGAGGAAGTCAAATATGACTTGGTGAGTTGTCACAGCTATTTTTTAAGCCATGTTTTGATGTTCTATCCACCAAACTAAATAACAGAAAAGAAATTCATCTGGTTCCAAGGTAAGGTTCCTTTATGTAAGCTTTTTATGAAAGGATTGTTTTTTGTTTAGCCAAGGATGAAAAAAAACCTACCTGAACAATTAGATTGCGATTGAATCATTTTCATCTGACTAAAGGCGGAAACTTACAGTCATGACATCACCAGTGCGATGACGTTTAGCATCTTGTTGAGGTGAGGGGCCCCACCACTCTCCCATCCCTGTTCATGTTGGTTTTTTTTTCTTATCCAAATGGATTCTCTTACTTTTCTTGCTTTTAAGCTGACTCTTTTCCCAAGTATTTCTGGTTCCCAGTTTGGTACGTGGTTGTGTACGTGGTTGTTTTGTAAAATACAGCCTATTATAGCCAACTTACTTGAAGATGATGTTGCAATACGTTGTGCTCTTGTTCTTACTCCCTCTAAGTAATGTATGACTACTTTGTGTCCTTTGATGCGAGTGCTGATTGTTCTTCCTCATTTATTTGGTTCAACTAAAAAGAATCCTTTCATAAAAAAAAAACTAAATAAGTCTTATAAATTATTATTTAAGGTTTAGACAATTACTGTAATTCGTAGGTTGACAAAGACATCACCCATTGCTTCCCTGTCATGTTTTGAACTCCCTATTTGGTCATATTGATACATAAAAAATTTCAGCAAGTATGAATATTCATGAATGTATTGTATCAAAGACCTCATGCTTACTCATCATGTGAGAACATGTTTGATCAGATAATGATCTTACAACACATGATTGCATGTGTTGTTAATCAATGATTCGCTTATCTTTTGCAGTTAGTAAGTAAAGCAATCCAATTTCTGGCGTCTGTAGCAGAGCGCCCACATTATAAGCACTTGTTTGAAAGTGAAGATGTCCTGGGAGGCATTTGTGAGAAAGTTATTATCCCAAACATGAAGTTTAGAGGTGAGTTATTTTGTCCTTCTGTTACATCTATGCTGTTTATTCATGGAGTGTAGGCTGGGAGATGCGGGGTCATCCCCCTCCCCCCATGGCAAGAAATTAGGGGGTTAAAATACTAAAAATGTCAAATACGTTTTCATTGGAATAAGAATTTAGTTTCACATTCTCAAAATTTTTGCACCCTCTCACTTCCCCTTCCCAATTTTTTGGGAGCTTCGCAACAGTATGCAAGGGATAGGGCTTGGTGGAACAGTTATTACAGATTAAAGGTTGAAGTCTCTGTGTCTTTGTTTTAGCTGCTGATGAAGAACTATTTGCAGACAATCCCGATGAGTACATTAGGAGAGACATTGAAGGCTCAGGTAAGAACACTCCTTTCCCTTACATGTACTTATTGTATTTATGTATAGCAACAAAATCCCTTACACTATATCTTTTAAATTTCATTTATATACAAAAGCAGGTGACTTAACCATTGCAAAATAGAATATAGTTTGTAAAGACTGTTTTCTACTAGGCAAATTTATTCTATATTTGAGCGAAGCGAAAGCCTTCATGCAAATTGGTGCATTCACATTTATATCGGAGTTTTTCGCTTCAGCAGTAGTTTGAACTGAAAAAATGCGCAACCATTCAGAGCTCAGGAAGCAAACAGACGCTTTCGTTTGAGGCGAATAAATTCACCTAATGGATAACAGGCTTAATACTCTTCTATATAAAAATGTATTAGATGATTCAGAACTATTTACATAATATCTTATTTTCTCTCTTTAGATATTGATACACGTCGGCGAGCGGCATGTGATCTTGTTGGAGCCTTATGCAAATTTTTTGAGACGCATGTCACCACAATTTTTTCTGGATATGTAACACAAATGTTGCAGGTTAGGAAAATGCATTGTTGTGTTTATGCTAGATATGCAAATTGAAAAAAGCAAATCTTTAAAGCTCTGTTCAGCCTATCAATTTTTTTTTTGACAAAAAATCTATTGTATGCCCATATATAGTCATGATGTGCCTATATATGGTCATGATGTGCCTATATATGGTCATGATGTGATGTTATTGTGACCATATTTAGTCATGCCACATGTTTTTGTCAAAATAAATGTGATAGTCTGGATATGGCTTATTATCTATTCATACTAACAAGTTTTATTTGACAAATTTGTGTGGATTTCACATAAGCTTGATGATGTCATATCACAACCATATTTGGACACAGTGTGTATTGTATCATCATACCCATAGAAAAAAAAATCACTGGTGTTTAGCATATTAATAGTGTAAGTAGAGCTTTATAAAAACACAAACCAACAAAATACTGAAGCCAATACTAGCCAATGTAAAAGGATGCCCAAGACCACACCTTTCACATACCTTTTCATTTCTCACTTTTGTTTTGTTTGCTGCACCTCATGTTACAATAGACAAGACTACCTTTCAGCATCATTGGACACATGTGAGTTATTTTTTCCTCTCAACTCTGCTTGTTGATGATCTTCAATCACGGGTAAATAGTGTGATGGTGGTGGGCTGAAAAAAGTTTTGTTTTTTTTTAGTATTGGAGTAGCTTTGGTTATTTTTCTTTTTCTACAGTGCAGGTATACGATATCATGTCGTACACGCTATACAAGTTGTCATCCTATACCAAATGGTTAGACAGCTCCATTAAAATAAAAGCAGAAAAACAAACAATAAACATGGGTCCAAAGTTGGAAGAAGTCATTTCTGGGAGATCTGCAGTGGCGGTTCCAGGAATTCAAAGGGTGGGACTTTCAAAGATGGAGGGTCTAGGCCACCTCAGCCCCATTATGGTTGGAGCTGAGTTAAGATAATTTATGATTATGGCACCTCTAGATGGCATCAATTTGCTGAGACAGGTTAATTTCTTGCTTGCTTATGGGAGTGTTGGAGCCCGTACAGATTTCCGGGAGATGTGGGTCCCCAGAGTAAAACTTCCAAATAGCACATCTTGTAAATGTGAAGTGTCCTGACCATCATATCACTGTAACATATTGCAGTATTCTTTGAGTTTTCTACCATTCTTATCTAAGTAAAGCAATCGGGAGCACAGTCATGGTTTATTATTGAATAATAATAATGGTCGCGACTTATAGAGAGCACATGTTGTAGAGACCTATAATATATGCTTAACATTACTGTATTACCACCAGTCATTGGATCAAGCACATATGGAACACATACTCCGGGGCAGATTGCTGTAAACGGTCTTAAGGGTTAGCTGGTTATAATCGTGACGTCACTACTGGTCTATGATTATAGAATATTGCTATACTGCGGTCTAACCAGTTAGCCATCTTAAATTTTAAAGCCTACTCGGAGGAGGCTTAAAACAGTCTTAAATCATTTTCATCATGGTGTTCTGCTGATTAATTCATCAGTGCAGTGGCAAGGCCTAGATCGTCAAAGTCGGAGAATCGAACGACAAATATTCCACACGTTTCTCAGCATCTGTGAAAATCCTGTAGGTCTGCATTTATTTGCGTTCATTTCGATACATTCGCATGCATCGAGCACGCATGACGTAGCCCACTAGGGAGTGCTTGTTTGCATTTCAATACTGAAAGCGGTCTTAGGGAAGACTGTTTTATAATAATGGTCTTAGAGGAATGTCTTTAGTAAGACCGTCTAAGTGATAAAGCCGGCTTCATTCGAGAAGTTAAGACTACCGGTTAAGACCGTTTTATAGCAATCCGCTCCAGGTTTCTGGGGAGAATTCCATAATGTTACAGCTGTAATCATTTTTTTGTTTGATCCTACTTGTGCTCCTGGGTGGAGAAAAAAAACCGTAGCTAAAATGCCTTGCCCAAGGACTCGCTTGAAATTCGATTCTCAAGGTTGAGAAGCAGAACCTCATCCTCTGCGTTAAACCACGCCTAATATTTAGTTATTAATATTTTTTTAGGGGTTGAATATAATTACTTTATTGATTCTAAAATAATTATGTGGTGTTCTTGTTATTGTTTGTTATTGTAAGATTGTTTAATGTTCATTGGATAGTGTAACAATTGTATAATTAAATTAAATCATTTACACAATTCAATATCAGCTTCAAACAAAATCATTTTTAGATTATTATAAATATACCAAAAATAGAATGTTGTTATATGTAGTATGTTATTACAATAATTACATGTATTTATATTTTTTATATTTATATCACATAACTATATTTTGTACTGTTGTAACAACAGTTTTACATTCTTCTTGCAGTACATTTGGGAAATAGAGTGTTGTCTTATATGTGCAACACATAAATTTTTACAATTTTAATTCATGTTCGTGTTACGTGCGGATCGACTGTAATATGCAAATTTACTACTAAAATGAAGCTACTAACTGTTGTTATGAATGAACGCAATTAATGTGGGGAAATTAGATTTTGATGAACATTTAAAAGCCCATAAGATAATATTATTTGGAAGATTGGCCCTACATTTGGCTCTGTTTTTAGCCAGCTAGGGCTGTATCAAGTCCATAAAAAGCAACAGTAAGTAGGAATTCTGACCGTAAAGAGGGAGGGTAATTTTATACGTCCTACATACAAAAATCTTCTCAAACTAGTGGATGTGGTGCCTTATACACGTGTATATACATGTATTAAACATCTTTTATCTTGTTTACTTAAGGAATACAGAAAGAGTCCAACTGTTAATTGGAACAATAAAGACATGGCGATCTATCTGGTAACGTCACTGGCATCCAAGTCGAAAACAGTGAAACACGGCACGACTGAGACGAGGCAGCTTGTCAACATCGCCGACTTCTTCGCTGGAAACATTGCAGAGGACCTGGTATCACCCAACAGTATGTTCATTTTTTGTCATCCAACTGAAAATAATTTTCAAATGCTGTTTTGATTTTGTCAGATAATATATGGATGGATGGGTGTGTGGGTCAATGATGTATTTACGGTAAAAGAGCATGGCCACCCAGTCTTGATGTGTTCCACCCAGTCTAAAGCTATTTATGCCCTTCCACCCACCTTTGTTAACCTCCTTGCCCATCCTTAAAATCCACTCTTATTATTTAGAGTTCACCAATGTGATCACCCACATGTCTACGACCCACCCTTAGTTTTCTACAGCTACAAACCTGGTGGGTGTTTGCTTCGTGTCTGGGTGACTGAGTGAATATCTGGCAAGATGGGTGGTTGGATTGATGGATGGATGGATGCATGAATAGATAGATGAAGTAGGGTAGGTAGGTAATAAATTAATGAATATAATCAAAGAGTATAGAATAGCAAAAGGTTCCACTGTCTTAATTTTTTATGCATGCAATCAAACGAAACAAAGTAATACCTTGAGATGGGGATGCCCTATTATAATTCGAATAAAGTTCAAAACAAGGAAATCTCAACAGTCAGACCTTGCAATTCACAATATCCAACTAGATTTGAAATTTTATATTCCCCAAAATGTTAACTTATAATTTTTCATAGCGTATATTTCCATTTTCTTTAAGTTCTTCAAATTATTTCCCATATCATTGAAACAGTGCTACTAAACTCATAAACAATTGGAGGCTCCAGAAAATTGCCGACAGGGGTCTGAAATGTTTGACAGAGGAGTCCAAACCAAGCAGCTGACCGTAGACCCTCGGTCGTGCTCCCGGAATAAACATTCCTGGTAGGGTTTTTGGGGGGAGGGGAGTTTTTATGGCTTAGTATGGCCCAAAATTCTGCTTTTAAACCACAATATTAGAGATTTGGCAATTAAAATAATTTTGTTCCCACTGCCCTCTTCCCCCACCCCCACACTGGCACCACCATAGCCTATACTATGCTTCCTGTGTGAATATTCCATAATGCAGTAGTTTGTAGAATTAAGTATTTATAAATAAAATATAATTATCTTTGTTTCCAGTTAATGAGGTTCCAGTTTTAAAAGCTGATGCCATCAAATACCTAATAACATTTAGGAGTGTGTTACCGTCGGCAATCATCATAGAGTATGTCCCTCGTATCATAGGCTTCCTGAAGGCTGAGAGCCCTGTAGTACACACATACGCCGCTCACGCACTCGAAAGAATATTCACTGTTAAAACTATGGATGGAACACCAGTGTAAGTGCTATTAGTATTTCTGTGTTTATACATGCATTGTTTGTGGTATATTAAACAATATAATACACTTATATTATATAATTATAATAATAATAATAATTATTATAATAATAATAATAATAAGGAGTGAAGGGAATTTCAAATTTGATGTGTATATGTAGAGTTGGGCCGGTGTAGATGCAAATTAGGTATTATGTGTTTTTGAGTAGGAATTTGGCACGGTGTCAGCATTTTGAAAGGAGTTCGTGCCTTTTGTTCAAAGTAGATTGTTTGTCTGCATAAATTATATGAAACTTTTCTGCGTTGCATAGATTGCATCGCTTTGTTTTGGGTGAGTAGGATGAGGCTCTATCAATAATGGACCACTTGATATTGTATTGTGTTTTGCTGTCTTTTAGTTTCCATATGAACTTTGAAAGTTCTGTGCTGTTTTTGTGTTTTGGTGCATTGAATGTGTGCTTATGATTTGTATATCGGGTTTTAAATGCAGTATCTGTGGTTTAAAGCTTAGCTTTAAATCACCTCCTATCGATTCCAAATTAACAAATGTGGCAGAGACAATCCAAACCAGTCACTCCTCACAAAAAAATAATATCAACAGTAAAATGAGAGCTATAAAATTATTATTATCAAAGATACTAGAAATACAAGATAGAGTTCTCGCATTGTAAAAATGAGGCGGAAGTCGTGCCCAACGTAGGCGGCGCCCTTCTTTTTAACCATGCAAGTTTCCTATACTTCGTGCCCAACATACAGGGCGCCCTTCTATTGCTAAGTATATCCAGACGCAAAAGGCGCCCTTCCTTTTCCACTAACGGAGGAAAACTTTTTCACTAAGAGTGCATCTGGCCATGCGATTCTGCTCTGTATTCTTTATTGATTCATGATTATGCTTTAATTGTTTTGTATATTATTTGGATAATAGCACGATTTCTACCACCACCAAGGAGGTTATGTATTCACCGATGTCACTGTCTGTGTCTATTCCAGTTTGTTTTTATATCTAGTAGACCTTTGTTGAGAATTGATAATGAAATACGCGACGACTTGGTAACGAAAGTTTGGCACAAGTTTTTTTAGATCCAGCTGTAGGGGGCGTACCATTTTTCGTATTCCCACCATGCATTTCGGTGGAACACGGTGAAACACTTTTTTTGTGTGGAGAACTCTATCTTGTATTTCTAGTATCTTTGTTATTATTAATAATCAGACATATCATTATGAAGATACAGGAGTTTGAACATACAGTTGTATAAAGAACAGTATTTGAGAAATAAGCCTTCAAAGTTTATGATTTGGGGCATTTCCCAGGCTAAGACTATCACTATATTGTTGTTTTAACATTGAAAATAGGGGAAAATATCAACATAGCATGATGTATATGTGTAAAAGGCTAGTTTAGTGCAATAAAATTGATTTTAAAAATGTTGATATTCCAGAATATTTTGGCCAATTATCTCTGAAACACGATTTGTGATGAGTGACTAGTTTGGCTTACAACTTTGCAACAAATATCTTTTGTCTTTATTATTCTAATTAGAGACTTAAACTGCTACCTTGGAAATCCCAGTCCAAAAGTAGTCTTTAATTGGAGGGAGACCTGTATTTAATACTGTGCTAGCTCACATACAATGCTACTTAATTGTTCATTCACATACTCAGCACTTCAAACATTAAAATAAAAGAGGATTTTTCCCAGCAGAGAATATTTGAGATTACGTTTGTTTTTTATCAACAGAGGATCAAATACATTAATCCTTAACTGTTGCTTTTTTTCTGTCTTTTGCTTTTATGTTTTTTACAATTTAGATTAAAAGCTGCAGATGTTGGCCCACATTGTCAACAACTTCTTGCAAATCTGTTTGACACGATGAACAAACCAGGTTCAGAAGAAAATGAATATGCGATGAAAGGTGAATGGGCAGTTACAGTACTTTTTTTTATTCAACCACTCGTTGAGTTGGTATTAGTAAACCCTAGTAATGCTGGTCAGTGGCGCAACACCTGTGAGCTCTCAGATGGCGATCAAAATGGGACTCCAAATACTAGCCTGAACCCAGTGTTAGTTTACTATGTTAAGTCTTTGAAAGGTGCCTTATAAATAGATATAAATATAATGATTGATGGAGCTTCAAAGATGCTTTGACCAATATCAAATACCAATAAATATTAAATGAATGACGATGCACAATTGGCGACTTAAATGAATATTTCGTGTGTAAAAAACGAAGTGTATTTTGGTTGAATAGATTAGAACATTTATATGGTGCCGGTATCCACCATATTGAACACTTTATGATAATATAATTCATACATGGCCAGGCTTAGTTTTGCTAGCATAAAGTCGATCTTTAATAAGGAAATGCATAGTTACAATGTTGTGATAATTTAGTATTTGTGTTGAGACATTGCTAAAGTCAAGTATATTCGTTATTGATTGATTTTCAGTTACTCATCTTGTTTGTGAGCAAACAATGTACTGTACAGAGAGAATACAGAAGTTTCGCTTGCGATTCTATTTTTTTTTATTTTCCTCTCTATTATATAACGTATGGTTAGCTTAAGCCGCGGGCACTCACTGTGTCGTATGACGGTAGTTCGACGGTCGTTAAAATGACAATTTTGGCACTGTACAAACGATATTGATTGGTGAATTATTGGTCCGGCCAAAACTGGACCAGCCGGCTGCTTCCTTGGCCTTTGAAAAAAAAAATCCGCTGCCTCATTCATATTCATGTTATGTTTATTTAAGACACGTGAATCAAAACACGAGGAAGTAGAAATTTATCTGTTAACAAATTTTATAAATCGGCTTATCTGACCTGGCAGAACTACAAAACGGACTCGGAAAATTAGTATAAGAAAACATATTATTACTGTGAATAGAGTCGAAGGCGGACACACTGGCGTAACGGTCGTGAGCTCTCGGAGAAGGGGAAGCCCCGGGCCCTCATTCAATGGGGCCCAAATCATGCCTGATTATTGTTGGTCTACTTCGGTAAATTTTTGGTTATAAATGACATAAATAAACAAAAATAGATGGAGCTTCAACCAATATAAGATAGGCCTACCAAAAATATTAAATGAATGACGATGCACAATTGGCGACTTAAATGAATATTTCGTGTGTAAAAAACGAAGTGTATTTTGGTTGAATAGATTAGAACATTTATATGGTGCCGGTATCCACCATATATGATGATCATAGCACTTTTGCAAATATTTGAATACTTAAATGACATCTTTTCAGTCAATTTTTTTTTTTAAATTGGGACATACTCAACCCCTCGGATGCTTTGTGAGTTAGAATATTTTACTGACACGGGGTCCCCAATATTTTCTTGTCCCCCTTGACTCATGTTCGTCGTTACGCCACCGATGCTAGTAAACCAAATCAAAGAACATGTTTTATTGTTATATGTGAAAAATGTGAAATTATGCCAGCCTTGAGTGAAGAGTACGGTAATCATGACATTCCAGCATATTTTGGCCAATTATCTCTGAAACACGATTTATTGCTCGGATGCTTTGTGAGTTAGAATATTTTACTGACACGGGGTCCCCAATATTTTCTTGTCCCCCTTGACTCATGTTCGTCGTTACGCCACCGATGCTAGTAAACCAAATCAAAGAACATGTTTTATTGTTATATGTGAAAAATGTGAAATTATGCCAGCCTTGAGTGAAGAGTACGGTAATCATGTTTCCCCTCAATTGAATGTTTGCTGAGCACAAAGAAACCTCAGTTATCCCCTCAACAATCCCCTCCCATATTTGAAACATTTATACAAATCTTTACTATATGTTTATTTAATATTCAAAATTATAACCTTTTATGTAGAGATAATGGAAAGGTCGTTTTAGACGAAAGTGTGATAAAGGAGAATGTTAAAGTAACTTGCACGCTAACCTTGCTATTGGTTGTTTTATTTCTAGCTTTGATGCGTAGCTTTTCCTTACTGCAGGAAAATATTGTTCCTTACCAAACAGAGCTTCTCAACAATTTGACTCTGAAGCTTAAGGCTGTAAGCAAGGTATGTGAAAGATTACTGGGGGGGAGGGGGAGGGTGGGAGAAGCTCGGTAAATATCCACAGTCCAGATGTATTGCGAGTTCCATTGTTCAAAGAATAATTCATATTCAGAAGAAATTCAATAATTGTAATTAATGTAATATATTTTTTACAGAACCTTATTTTATAAACTAATAATACTATATTACTAATAATTATTATTTGAGAATTATAGGACTCTTTACCAGAGTCTCACCAGCGCTTAAAAGGTATGAACTATGGAAAAATGTGAGTTTTAAGAAGAGATTTGAATTGAGAAATGAGTGGGTGTATAAAAGAAAGGCAGAGGGAAGTTTGTTCCAGAGAATAGGTGAAAATGCATAGAAGCCTTTGAGGACAGATGTTTTGTTCTTTGGTGAATATAGTATGAAAGGATCGAGTTCATATTACGAAGGAGTGTGTTGTAAATTCTTGAAGGTAAGATGCAGCAGTACTATTAAAACGGTGTGTTGTAGCATGCTCGCCTTCCAATCCCTAGTCAAAGCACTTCCACACTATCCACCCATATATGGGCATCATGATGACACATTACATCCATATACGGACAAACAAGCTTTTAGGTTATTTTCTGTAATGGTGCTTGCTATGAATGTGGTAGAAATATAAATAATACTTATTTTTACACTTTTTAAGATTTTGATTGTCAATATCATTAGTAAAATGAGGCTTGACTTCCCAAAACCAACGTATTGTCACTAAATGTTCATCTGAGTAACTAGCATAAGAATAGTAAGTTGATTCCAGAAAATGACCCATCATTTTAAATGTGGAGAATATGAATATTTTAAAAGGTCAATTTTGATTTTTTTTTTTTTGTTGGTCACCAATACTAGTTTTGGAATAGCAAGCCTGAAATATGATACAAAATATAGTCTAAATTTTTCCCCTCTATTTTCATGTTTTTCTTTACAGAATCCCAGCAAGCCACATTTCAATCACTACCTGTTCGAATCACTCTGTCTTTCCATCAGGATCTGTTGCAAGGCCAACGCAGCTAGTGTGCTTTTGTTTGAAGAAATGCTATTCCCACCTTTCCAAGACATTCTTCAAGCAGATGTCCAAGGTATATTTTTGTTTACCTTTAACATAAAATGTAAAGAATATTATTCCAATTTTTGTTTATTTTACTGCTTTTTGAGGCCAAGATACTGTACTGAACTTTTCAATTAGGACATTTTTTTTTCTCTAATTAACAGTGGCGTAGCCAAGAGGTGCCAGGGTGAGGGGGCCACGGTCTCCCAGATTTTGGCCTGCCACCTCCCACTGCCCCCCAGGTGGCTAATGTGGTTCATTGACATTTCTACATGTCGATGGGGTTTGGTAATAGTACAGTAGAAGAAGTCTTTTCAGATAAGGACTTAAAACAGGAAATCCAGTGTGCACTTTTAAGAATCCATTGCCTCTTTCAAAAGAGCAAGGGTTACCACTTTTCTATGGTTCGTTTCAGCCTCTGTCGTCATGGAATGTCGTGAACTACCACGCCCATAAGCAATTCAGCACCATGACACTGCAAGTTATAGGTTATTCTACCTTTACCTTTACTTTAACAGTAATAATGTTAAATTTCATTTGCAGAATTTGTTCCATATGTTTTTCAAATAATGTCGTTATTATTGGAGAAGCATGATAACTGTCCAGAGGCTTATATGCAGCTATTCCCGCACCTACTGCTTCCTATCCTATGGGAAAGAACCGGAAATATTCCTCCACTTGTTCGCCTCCTCATGGCCTTTATCGAGAAAGGGCCACAACAGATTGTCGCTTCTGAGAAACTGGTAAACATTTTTCAATGATCAAAATATATTTTACTTTTTTTTATTAAGCCTTCTTGAACCTTCAATTGTGCATGAACGTGTCAAAGGTCAAAGCATATTATTTAAACAGTCAACCTGCTAATACCATTGTGTGAACTTCTGTTAATAAGAAGCTTTCGATTTGTGACGCTAGAACGGATTTACTCCTCCGTGATGAGTTCTCTGCAAAACATACATTGCATCAAATTTTGTCCTAGAATTCATGCAACTAGGATAACTTATTGTTCTCGCACGCACAGATGACTTCTTAGTGACGTCATTACGTTCTACGTCCTACTGCGTTGTGTAATCGAAATCTGCCTATTTATGCATAGTAGATTGAAACTGCTATCATTCTTCAACACTTAATAATTAATATAACTAGAAAATACAGATAACAACATACATCCTCATGTGTTTTTTGGTTTATATGCTTTAACATAGACAATGCCCATTTAAGGATATTATGAATATTACAGTACTCTTTCTTCCAATTCTGACATATTTTGCTTGTATTTAAGGTGCACTTTGTTTTTTGTTTTTTTTTTAAATTTACCTAGGGGGCCTTACTAGGAGTTTTCCAGAAGTTAATTGCATCCAAGAACCATGATCACGAAGGCTTCTATGTACTTCAGTCTATGATTGTACATATTAACCCGTAAGTTAGTTTCTAAAGCACCTCTAGCACTTCCAGACCTACTACTCTAGTTAAAGATACGCTATCTGTAGTATTAAAGAAATTCTTTAAACAATGCAATTATAACTTTGAATTGGTCATGTGACGAATACAGTAAATTATCAACTGATTTTACTGCCAAAAGGTATCCATAGAATATATTCCAGAACAGTATTTGTGGTAAAGACAAGCCAAACCAGTCACTTGTCGCAAATCATGTTTCAGAGATAATTGGTAAAACATGCTGGAATGTCAAAATTGTTGAATTCTGTTTAAATGTACAAAATACCCTTTATATATCTATACATCATGTTATGTTGTAACAACAATTTTAAATGACGTGATTGTTTCTGCCTCAGAAATGTCCAAAACCGTAAGCTTTGAAGGCCGATTTCTCAAATATTGTTCAGCCGTATGTTTAAACCCTTAATTTTTTTATTTTTTTTTTTTGGGAGGAGTGACTGGCTTGGCTTGTCTTTTCCACATTTATTGTAATAATTGTTAATAATATGTTGTTCTATTTTTATTTGAGAGGTAGTAATTTGCTGTATCTGTAGCTAACCTGTAAATTGAACACATTTCTGTGCAACTAAGTATTAATATTTTGTACAGTATTTTTTATTTTATTTATTTTGTTTTTGTCTTTTTGTTTTAATAGATCTGCTCTACAGAATTTCCAAGGAGATATATTTATGTTGTTGTTTCAAAGACTTACAAGCTCAAAAACAACTAAATACATCAAAAGTAAGTGTGCTCAGAATTACTTCTTGTTGACCAGAGAGAAGCAGCAGGGGGTGTGGTGAATGGACCATTCCAAAGTGTCCATCAAACTTAATTGACCAATCAGAACAGGGCCAGGAATATATGCATGTCTAACAAATGCACATGTTGTCCCAGAAATGCACATGTTTGCATATTTTTTTATACTGTTGTTTGTGGGAACTTAGCCGACAAAAGTCCAAGAGGCGGGGCTTAGCGGAAGGTCCATTAGGCTCTACATCAGGCATTTGTCTAAAGTGCATATGGATCGTGTGTGTGTGTGTGGCTACGTTCAGGCTTGGAGATAAGCCAGGCTTGAGTTAAGCCCGGCTCAACGTTAAGCTTGGCTTAACTTTGCCGGCCGTTCAGACTACCGGGTGAGAATTTGCATAATAATGAACCGTAGCCAGGAAACGTGTATCAAAACATTGCTCTCTCAAGCGTACATAATTGAATGCTGATTGGTCATTTCCTCACCCGAGGTCAATGTAAGACCTCCCTCAACGATTATAGGCTTAAAAAAGTTAAACATGGTAGCGCGCCAGGCCAAGTTACTATAGGAACACAGCCCGGCTTGAGATAAGCCACCTAGTTCAGACTAACAGGTGGATACACCAGGTGAGTTGAGCCGGGTTTATCCACCTAGTCTGAACTAGGCCTCTGTATACGTATATACGACAAGTCCAACTCTGCTGCCTGTAAGTGCCAGACTACGCGATACCGTCTGCTGATTGTTGTCGGTGGTCACCTGAAAAGGTCAATGTCAATAAAAAATTATCTGTTGCGCACGCGTCGTCACGTTTCTGTTCTTCGTAGAATTGCGTTGCCCGATGACCGTCGGCCGTAGTCAGTGCCTGGCATAACCTGTCCAAGACTATCAAATTATTTTTGACAAAAACATGTGAAATGCCTAAATATGGTCATGATGGCATGGCATCATGACCATATATAGACACATCATGACTATGTATGTGCATACAACAGTTTTTTTTGTCAAATATACCTTGATGAGATAGAGCGAGAATCACTAATATCTGCACATGCTTGTTATCACCAATATTCGCAAGTGTTGTCATCCTCAGCACTTTCATCATCACAATCAACACCATCAAATTTAGGTTGCTAAGCACTTTTTTCCTGGTCATTGGAGTCCACATTTTAAGTGTTGCTACTGGTAATCATCGCAGGCAACTTAATCAGGTGTCCATACTCCTGGGGTGGAGAGAAGCAGATAAAGTGTCTTCCTCAAGGACACAGGTGTGCACAGTGAGGGATTGAACCCCCGACCTCGAGGTTGGGAAACCAAACTGACACTGCGCCAAACCGCCACTGCCGATAGTGGCATATTATTACTTCTCATGATTTTTATATTGTGTACATCTTATTTGACAGAAATTTGTCATTATCTTATATAAATAATAATATATAAACATTAGCATCATCATACTTTTTATTGTTTTGTTTTTCTCTTCCTTTTTCATATTAAAAAGGTCTCTTGGTGTTTTTTTCACTGTATGCAGTCAAATATGGCGCCGACACTCTGACTGCAGTTATCGATAGAATTCAACCAAAGTAAGGAGCACTTATTTGTTGTATTGAACATATCCACAGGTTAAATAAATCTTATTTGTTTATTAGGAACTTTTGTTTGATTGCTGAAAAAAAACATGTTTTCATGTTTAAAACATATACAGGTCTCCCATTAAAGACCACTTCCAATTAAAGATCACCTTCCTGTGGTCGCAAGTTAATAACTGACTTTCATCTTCTTTATTCTAAGACCAAAGTTGCTAAACACCATGGAAACCCCGATTCCAAAAGTGGTATTTAATTGGAGAGAGACCTGTATCCATTTCCATAAATTGAATTTCTATTACCAGGGCTTGAAATTAAAGGTTATTTGGTCGCATTTGCGACCTGATTTTTTAAGGTGCGACAAGGAATTCAACTTTGTCGCGCTCAGTGCAACAAGGTCATTTGGTAGCGCGAGTAGATTTTGTAAGCGGCAGGAAGGTGGTTTCCCTCCAAATCCCAATTATTTACAACTTGTACAGCCCATTATTTTCAGTCAGGCAGTACGCAAAACATGCTATTATTCATTTTACATGTACTGTATCAACCAATCAGCATGACCTAGACTGCTAAAGTGTGACGTCGTACACTAAAACCGTGTCGATGTGCGCTCATCTTATTCTTGGTAAATAAGCGATTACCGTCAAAGCGAAGGAGACTGGTATAAAAACATCGGATTGCACGATTTTTTACTATTTTATTGAGTGCTACTCTTACCTGTACCTCCTGTGAACGTTTCCTTAAAGTATTTGTTCATAAAATAGACTATGTACCGAAATTTCAAACGATCGTATACAGTATTGACTCATACGATGTAAACGGCCCAGATAATCAAAAATTAACTCTAAATAGATCGTAAATAAATACAATTAGGCATCATCTGGATGATTATATTCAAAGTACTACTGGTATTAAGGCAGACATCTTTTATTGAAAACCAAACCAATTACCTAAACCTCCTGTACATTATGAAATAAGATTACGCTTCTTCAATCACATGGCTGATGATAACAAAGGGTATAAAATACTCTTTGATGATAACCTCAGCTAAACTTCACGGAGCAGCTATAATAGTTTAACAACATACATCTCAATGAGCAACATCTTGAAATTTACAAAAAAAAACAAAACAAACAAATAGGTCTCACAGCAAATTTTGAAACCTAATTAAATGAAATAATATAGAAAGCAACTCCTTTACTACCATTTATTTACTGAACGAGCCAGTTGGCTTCTGACCTATTTTTGTTCGTATCGGCGGCGTACAAAGAGTCAAATGACTTTGTGTCTGGTAACCTCGGTGTCTGTGTCTACCAGGAGGAGCCTGGAATTGTGAACGTTTCTCACTGAATGTAGTAGACGGTAAGCAGAGTTATTTCATAGGCAACTATAGTAATGGGCCTCTATCAAACAATTTATTTTGTTCCTAACAAAGTATCAGCAGAAAGTAAGCAAAATGATTGTTTAATCGTGTTTTGAAATAATATAAAAATTGAATTGTATATAAATGGATATTTAAAGATTAAATTTTAAATGTGGAATTAATATTAAAGTGCAACAATTGAATTAATTGGTTAATTTAATCTATAAGATATATAAAAAATATATAATTCTACAAGGAATGTTTCTTGTTTTGACAACAACAAAAAACATAACAAATCAACATCGAACTAACTGGTAGCAGGCCTTCCAATTACGAAACTATATTTCGCGGAGTAACATCCCAAACCAACTACACCCGCTGGCGAGTAAGGTATGTTGAGTCCATTGCAAGTTATAAACCAATCAGAATGCCTGGATATTACATCATTCGGGGCAACTTGCAATGTTTGGGATATGTTACTCCGCGAAACCTTTGTAAACACTAGAAGTGTGATGATGTTCTCTGGCGATTAATACTGAAGTTTTGAAGTTGGAAGGCGTACCAGTTTTTTTTTTTTTTTTTTTAATAATTCTCAATAAAAACAACCATTGAACAAGAAAATGAAACTATAGATCGTTATATATGTTGGTACAAGATACTTTGCTGAAGTTGTACAGGCCCAGACCTAATGTTCTACATTATAACCTAAATAAGAAGTGTCGCCGGCCGACTGTGTGATGCCAATTTTTCGGGCTTAAAACGAAGCCTAAATGGCTTTTGACAAGTGGGGAGCTGGAATTTCAGCACTCCCAAAATGTTTGTGAAAACTCTGGAACTCTGTTTAGGTTGAAATTATTATGTGTAAATCGATTTAGAGTTATCTCATAAAGAAAAAATTCCATCCACGCATATTAAAAATAAGTCTGCCAATTTCCGCGCAAATGTTGCAGTAAAGTCGGCCGGTGGCTATTGTAACCAATGTATAGGCATTCGCAGTGTTAATGCGATTCTGCGGACCTATTTTCTCGAAATTTCCTGCACAAATGAAGAAAAATACTGAACAGTGAAAATTTTAAAGAAAGTGTACAGAAAATATAATTAATGTTTCAGTAATAATAATTAATAATTTTATAATCAATATATCAATCCACTTAAGTGAATGCAGATTTTGGCAGTCCATTGACTAGACAGTTTAGCTAGCACATTATTACTGCTCATGTTTTTCTTTTTTATATTGTGTATATCTGTTAATAATTAACATAAATTTGTAATTTTCTTAGAAATATTCCTAACAATTAAAACTTTCCATGAAATACTTTCCCTTTCCTTCCAGTTAGGTTGAATTTTTTACCTTGCACCTTTTTTTTTTTACTATCCCTTTAATATCTATTTTCTTTTTAATATTTTTTCATCCTTTTTCTTATTTCGTTTTTGATACTTACCTTTCTTTTAGTTTTTTCATTGTCATTTTCTTTCC